TATTTTTTGGGGCTAATTCTCCCTTGAGCCGAGAAGCTAGGAGCCACCGTTAATTCCGACGGACCACCAAACCTACCCGACGATCGAAACTCTTGATTCACCATCGGCGGTGAATTCTCCGACACACGCCACATCTTCACCGACCGATCTAAACTCCCACTGTACACAATCCACCGTCTCTCACCAGAAGCCGATTCTTGATCTCTCTCCACCGCCAAACACTTAACCGGACCCGCGTGTCCCGTCAACACCGATAAACATACGTGCTCTCCTCCAGCTCCACGTTCCGGCCTCCTCCAAACACGAATCCCCAAATCAGCCGAGCCACTGAACAACAGATTCCCCGCCGCGACGAGGCAGAGCACGGCGAGTTTATGACCTCTCAAAACGCCGCCGTTTTTCATACTGTTATCTCTTTCCCAAAAGTTAACGGTTCCGTCAGACGAACCACAGTAAACTAACGTCGCGCTTTGTTCAACCGCGATCGCCGTAACGGCGCAATCTTGTTTCAAAAGCGTCTCTGAGAAGAAATGTTTCGTCGCTTTCGCTTGATCTTCTCTCCTCCACACTTTAACCGTACCGTCAGCTGAACCGGTAAAAACCAAACCGTCGAAACCGGAAACGACGGCGTTGACTGCGTCTTCATGAGCGTTGACCGATTCCAAACATCTCAGATCTGAGACTCTCCACACTTTAAACGTTTTATCCCACGAACCTGAATACAAAAGCCTCTTGTCTTCGCTCAGAGCCAGACACGAGATCGCGTCTAGGTGTCGGAATCCCTGCGCGCTTGTCCGATTCCGTCTCGTGAAATTGAAATACGAGGAAGGAGCGATCGAGTTTCTGATGAAATCTCTGAGATTCGGCATCGTGCCGACACGACGGAAAATGTTTGAATCTCTAGAGGAATTTTTCCAGACACGGATTTTTCCGTCTTGATGTCCGGTGAAGATTTTGTCTCCGGCGAGAACAATCGCTTTCACTAATCCACTATTCGATTTGAAACTGGAGAATTCGACATGTTTTTTCCAAACTCTGATGTTTTTGGAATCAGATCCTGTGTAGAGTAAATCTCCAGATGTAGCTAAGGAATAGATATGGCCTTCTTCACGGACAAGAGATCCCATGAGAATGTTTGGAGAGTAGTTTTCGGATTCGTCGGTTGTGGAATGCGTAACCGAGGCTTTCACCGACGAGTGCGACGGTGGTTCTACTGCGTCGGTGGGGTCTACGTGTACGGACCATGGTGATTTGGACAAAGGTGAAGATGAACCGTCGGATGCAGAAATATCGACGTATGTTATGTCGTAAATGTCTGGATTTGGAATTGTTTCTACTTTCTTTAGTTTTGTAAATCTCTGGCTATTTTCTCTGCTTGAAGCCTGACTATGCATTTGAAGAAATTTTATGATGAAATTTAGCTTCTCGGTTTTTGTACAGATTTTTTTATTTTTTCCTGAAAAAGAAAGAAAAAAAAAGATTGGAGACGATGGTGCCTGTCTGGAATTTATGGATGATAGTTGTAAGTTCTATATTTAGTTTATTCAAAATTAGAACCGTTTGTTTTGGAAGAAAAATGTCCACAAATTTCATTAGAGATGCATACGAAATTATTAGCTGTGCATGGTCGTAAGTAAATTACTTACCGAGAAAGCTGTTAGGAAAACTTTAATAAAAACGAAACCGAATATTATTATTATGAATATATGATTTGGTTCGTTTTTAAGATGTTCATGAACCAAAAAGACACATATATGCATGTTTCTCATTTGTCTACGAAGGCTTCATCTTCTTCAACAATACTAGTTTGTTTTCTTCTTCTTCTTCAAGCGATCTTTTTCTAAAATGCTTTTCCACTTTTTCTGATGAGATTCCATCAATCAGTCCCATAATCGAGCGTAGAGAGGAGATGAGATTATCATCACAAGCCAATATCTCAGCACTTAGTCCTACCACAGAATAAGACGACGGTGTAAACTGAAAAATATCTTGATTTGCATCGCACCACCCTGGAATCGAACTCTTGACCAGCCATTTGTTAGCACTCAAGTCGTACACATGAACCATTCGGTCGGCACCGTATTGTATCTTCCTCCTCCCCTCACTCAACACTAAACACTTCCCGTCGTAAGCCTCTACGTTCCAATAACCAGGCCTCTTTCCGTCCAGCACTCCGTTCTTGATCTGCTTCACGAGAACCCATTTGAGATCACTGAGAATATCCTCGAGGGCATAAACGTAAATGACTTCCTCCGTGGCCGATATCAAAGTTAGGTTACTTTCGCCAGCCGCGAATAACGTTCTCGAATGCAATTCCTGGGGAAACTCAACAGGAATCAGTCGTGCTTGCTCTGTTTCGGGGTTGAAAGCTACGATGCTTCCGTCGTTTCTCAGCCAATGAAGAGATCCGTCCAAGTAAACAGGTTTTTTCATAAGGGTACTGAAATTGCTTGGGCAGGAAGTAATCGTCGTTTTCGAATATCTCCATGAATTTCCGGAGTTAATCTCGAACCTATAACTCGATTTACCGGGATTTTCCACCTCGGTTTTTCGGTTTATGTGAATGATTTTGAAACTCCGGGTGGTTTGATTAACCGCGAATCCGAGGGGACTCGGGGATACAACTCTTTTACGTTTACAAACCCTAGCCAGACGCATAAACGTAGAGAGATTCAAGAATCGAAACTTCTTCGTAAGGGGATTTACGATGCATAGACTTCTTTGTGTTGTCCCGTTGATGAAGTAAAGAAGAAGAAGGCCAGAACAAGAGTCCAAAATCTGACACTCCATTAAGGTTTTTGTTTTTCTCACTGACCTAGAATCTCCCAAGGTGTGGTAGCACAACATGTTTGAGCCATATGAAGAGACATGAAGCAAACCTGATCGCCTAGAAAAGTATTCGGATTCAAACCACGGGTCGCATATATGGGATTGTAGAGATCTATTCGTGCATCGCATCTTCCACAGAGATTTGGGATCTGTTCCCAAGAGAATCTTGTCTATGAGATGTCCAGGTAACCTGTCCATGATCGGAGGATTATAAGGTTTTTGCTTGATCTAATTTGATTGTGTTTCTCTGAATTTGCTGTTGATGTGATGGATTTATTTATATAGACGCAAGTAAATACGTCAACAACATATTACAATAAGGAAACGGATTTAGCAAGATTCCCCGAATCGAAATCTTGGAAACCAAAAGTTAAATAAAGGGAAATCTTGGAAACCAAAAGTTAAATAAAGGGAAATCTGTTGCTC